CTTGCCGCCCATCGTCAGAACCGCTCGGCCCCCGAGGACACGACGGAGGGCGGGCCGCAGAGGAGGGAGGCGAGGAGATGCGGGGAGGCAGGGGGGAGTGCAAGACGGCCGTGGTGGACGGGGTCGCGGGGGGCAGGGCCGAGGCCGGCGTGGGNAAGGCGGCCGTGGTGGACGGGGTCGCGGGGGGCAGGGCCGAGGCCGGCGTGGGACGGAGAGGCCAGACCTTTCTATCCCTCCAGCCGTCGTTTCGTGGGAGGTATACGCGGTTCGCCAAATGCAGAACTCCCACACAGACTCCTGGGTGTACGTACCCTTCCTCCTCGACGCTTTTGGCGTAGATCGATATGTGCTCTTCGATAAGCCAGCCTGGTGGGATTCCGCCGTGGCAGCCTGTGCTGTCGCCCTCCAGGACGCCGGCCAACACCCAGAAAAGAATGTCAAGGACTTGCGAACCTGCGCGCAGCGTGAAGATGGAGTGGACNTATCTATCCCTCCAGCCGTCGTTTCGTGCGAGGTATACGCGGTTCGCCAAATGCAGAACTCCCACACAGACTCCTGGGTGTACGTACCCTTCCTCCTCGACGCTTTTGGCGTAGATCGATATGTGCTCTTCGATAAGCCAGCCTGGTGGGATTCCGCCGTGGCAGCCTGTGCTGTCGCCCTCCAGGACGCCGGCCAACACCCAGAAGGGAATGTCAAGGACTTGCGAACCTGCGCGCAGCGTGAAGATGGAGTGGACGCGTATGGGAGTAACTACGTTACCGCCTCCAGACAGAGTCAACTCATGGAGGGTCACCCGATCGGTCAAGGGCTAGGCCTGATGGTGGTCGCCTGGCGGAACGCAATTGAGGTGGCCAAGCAACAGCTCCAACTGCCGAGAGTAACCGCCGCCCAAGTTGGCCCAGCAGTCGTACCCACCTTCATGGCCTGAGCTTTTTCGTTGTCGTGCTGGGTTTGCACCGTATGTAGTTAGGTGGGTCTTCATGACATTGTTTAGGCAACATGACTCTCGCAAGGTGTGATACGCGTGCACCTCGTCTTGGGGGGCGGGAGGAGCGTTTATCTGGACAACCAAGCACGCGTCGTTTGCAGTGTCTGTCTGTCTGTCTGTCTGTCTGTCTGTCTGTCTGTCTGTCTGTAGGTTTCCTTCCGCGTATGTGTATGATGTACTCACTTCGCGGGGGCCGGCGGGGTTGGTGCGAACAAGATCATAACGACGACGGTCCTGACTTTGCCTCAACGGCATCACACACGAGCCAGCCAATGAACAGACGAACGAGCCTACTGCAGATACTTTTGTGCAACCACCACAAAAAACTATTCC